CGGAAACCATAACAGCATTTAAACAAAGATAAACAGATATGGTGAAACACTGTGACATACAAATTGTTTAAACACTTATTCTAATATCGCTCTACATGTAGACACACTAATCTTTAGGTATATAAAGTGATACTTTGTAAAGGTTGACTCAAAACTAATATTATAGAGTCTATTATATACAATGTGACCCCTATGCAGCGAATAAATGTTCAACACATATTCATTTTCCAATTTTTCTATAAGCCATAATTGCATACAGTCAGAAAAATTCGAAACATTTTAGCAAAACGATTGGTACTTTTTTTTTTCAAGATAATTCAGTAAGTACACATAGTTGCACGGAGCAAAATAGTATATTTAAAGTAATGTCAACTGTTAAAAAGTAAAGGTATTTCTGTTTTAGTTTTTAGTATTAAAGCTAAGAATTACAAACGCGTAGACCACAGTCTAACATTGTACTTACTGACTGTTGTTTCTAAAGAAAGTCCCAGTGTTTTAGTTTTTTTTCAACAGCTAATTTAGCAAGTATACATACTGTACTTGCACGGTACAAAATAATATGTTCAAAATAAAGTCAACAGTTACAAAGAAAATCTATTTCTGTACAAAGTTTTAGTATCAAACCTAGGAATTAGTTTTTTCAACAGCTAATTTTAGCAAGTATACATACTGTACTTGCAAACAGCATGTGCAAAATAATGTCAACAGTTACAAAGAAAATGTATTTCTGTACAAAGTTTTAGTGTCAAACCTAAGAATTATAAAAGCGTGGACCAGAGTCTACCAATTGTACCTACTACCTGTCAATTCAAAAGAAAATGACAGTGTTGTTTGTAATGAATACTGCTAGAACGTACAAGTAAGTATACGTTGTCACAATGCTGTAAATCATCATTATTTATACTTCAAAGGTTACATGTTGTCCTCTCGCGGCCTTGGGTAATTCTTTCTTGACAACGGCTCAACTTTTGACGTAACAAAACTTTTTCAGATAGTTGCCTCTTGTGTGGCCAAAATAAGCTGTAGTGAATACATGTAAGATTCTATTCAATATACATGCAGAGAAGGTAAGAATTCTGGTATTTCTACCTTTTTACTGTTTTCATAGATGCAAGGACTCAAATTTTGACGTAACAAAACTTTTCAGATAGTTGCCTCTTGTGTGGCCAAAATTAGCTGTAGTGAATACATGTAAGAGTCTATTCAATATACATGCAGAGAAGGTAAGAATTCTGGTATTTCTACCTTTTTACTGTTTTCATAGATGCAAGGACTCAACTTTTAACGTAACAAAACTTTTTAGATAGTTACATCTTGTATGGCCAAAATTAGCTTTATTTGACTACAGGCAAAATTCTATTCAATATGCATGCCGTGAAGGTAAATATACTGTTGTTTCTAACTTATATCTGTTTTCATGGATGCTAGATGATACGTGTGTTTATGGAATTTTGCTGACTGTCAGAAGTTCTCGTTAAAAATAAGACTATTTATGACTTATTTTCTTTTGGGGTATAAAAGTACCTTCGCTATTGATATAATTTCTATAGAATCGAAGATCCCTTTCCATATTTAGGGTAATAGTAAGGGATGACATCTTTAAGATAGTTCCAACAAACGTTTTTTCCGGCCCATCCTTTTTCCTAAAAAAAATACAGATAGTTTCTGACGCGTTCTTTTGAGTCGGAGCCGATGGGAAGAACTTGGGCGAAAGGATAAGATTCTTGGACATAATCCCCTATCTCTGCTCTCACTTTGTACATTTACGGAGAGATAGATTTTCGCTTTGCCTCCCATTTCTAAAAGCAGGGGATAATGATAGCTTTACTCAGAATTGCGTGAACAAAAAACATTGAAGGAGAGTAGATAGCGCACTGGCCTCGGCGAGATAGTGTATTATTTGGGCAAATGAAACGTATCAAGTCGAGAAAGAATTGTGGCCGACCATTTCCAGCGAAGCCTATTTGCCGTGGCATCTCCAGAGCAGTAAAAATGGCGCCCGGATACTTGAAGGGGTCAGGGGTCAGTCATCTGCCCCGCTAGAGCTTGTATCTTATCGACCCTGCATTGTTAGCTTGATACTTTGTGGCCGTAAAGAAGACATAAAGCGATTCTACAAATTCTGGAACCAAATCTCGCCGAATGGTCCCAGCCGCGAGAGTTTTCGTTGGTGCTTTGGGTGATATTGCTTTGTTCGAAGCGGTTCCTTCGAATAAGGTTGTGATAAAATATCGTAAAATCCCCGAATTCCCGCTAGATATCGACCGAGACTAATGCCGGTTTGAGCCTCTTACGAAAGTGGAGTGAAAAAAAAGGGAACGACTTTGAGAAAAAGAATCAGATATTTCCTGGGGTGTTTTGTCATGCGTCTGCGGTGTAAGCCAATAGCAAATGGCGTCTGAGATTGAATCTAGGGTCAGAGACAGGACAGATCAGTCTTGTCCCTTTCACATGTCACTTCCACCATTCTGTGTTGAGCTCCAGCACAGTCACTGCCATCAGTTACCACCGTATCGTAAAATCCTACAAACAGGAGAAAAAAAAGATAAGTCGATTTTTTTCTGGACAACTTTATCTAGAAAAACTGTTCATGTCTGTGTTTTTAAACTTTCAGCTCGTGACAAACAAGTTTTCTTAAACTCTCCTCTGGAAAGAACTCTTCACTACTTCTTCAAAGAAAACTTTTGCTATGAAGCTACAAATTATTATTGTTTATTTCTAAAACATTACAGACAACAAGAGGAAAACCAAATACAATTATTAGTTATATCGAATGCCATAATATTAAAAGAAACTACGAGCAAACAAACGCTTGTCGATAAATAAAAAGCTAAGATTTAGATAGCAACTTACTAGTAAGTCGAATCATTTAAAAGACTCAAAATTCCCCATTACAATTTCCACTTCTGTTTTTCTATGTCCTTTTCATTTGTACCAAAAGTAGTAAATAATTGGTTAATTACATGACTTTTACCTTGCTGATAATACTTAAGATCATTTTTCTGGGTTTGCCATATGAAAAATTATCGTTAACGTTACAATCGACAACTACTCGTTTTATCTAGAGTTTACTTTTGTTGCAAACATTCGATAAAGAAAACTTCAAAATGCGGATTCAAACTTTCTAAATAGCTCTTTATTCTGTATCTATTACAGACTAACACTACCAAAACAACATGGCGTTTTCTGTGACAGTTTTAACACTTATAAAATGACACCTCTTCAAATCCGACCAGACAAGTGTGTAATTTAGGACGAAACCTGTAAACGTCGCCCTTATCGTGGCTAATATGCCCCCACAACGTGACACCTCTTTTTGTGATCCGACCCCCACATAGACAAGCATTAAAGTATCCCGTTTCAAACCGTGATATTTTTTTTAAATCAAATGCTCTAAAACAGAAAGATATAAACTTTGCTAGTGGAGTGTTGACATGTGAAAGTTTAGGCGTTAATTTTAGAGTGCAGTGTGGTTGTTATCTTGCATGAAGCGGCCGCGAGGCGACAAAGAGAGCTATTCGCCACCTCGGTACAGCCGATCTAGGTCCAACACGTCTAATGGTGGCAATGGAGATGCATCTGTGGCGCGATCGAGTGTTGAGAGCCCGGCCGCGTCCCACAGAAAGACGCATGTATTCCTGGTATCAAACAAATAGAAAATCTAATATCATGGGCGGATGTAATGGTGGACAACAAGCGCCCCGTTTCGGCAAATGGTCGGCGAGTTGCGCGTTGCATCCCGAATGACTGACAAGCGCGTTATGTCAGTTATTCATTGATGAGAAATCAATTGAACCGACCATTACCGGGCCGGTCGGTGGAATCTATCACCCGGGATCTCCTACTTAGCCTGGACGTGTTTTCATAGCGACATTTAGAAGACAAACGCAGTACAAAAGGCCACGTTATGATATGTATGTGGGATCAAATAGAATGAATGACGCGACGACACGCAGTTTGTCCAATCAGCCTGTGGGTCTGATGGCTAGCCCGGGGTAGGCCTTAAGTATTCGCGTGGCCCGTGTCTTAACTGTCTTTCGGGATTTGAACAGGCGAGCATTTTCTGCGGGCGATCGCGACCCATCTCCAATTTATCATGACTCCTTTCCATAATGACTTCCGCCGATCGTGAACTTCGCTTGAACCCGGTTGCAGCCCGGCCGTAGAGAGATGGGATGCACGGGTCGCTGATTAAATTGCGTTTTGTGCCAATCGCAGCACGACGTTTATTTTAGAGTCTTTGCGAAAGAAAGGCGGCGCGCGATCCAAGCCTGGAGTAAAGGTTAGAGACACAGTGCCACGGAAGGGAAGAGAAGTTGAGCCGCCAGCAGCACCCTACAACCCGGAGCCAGCTTTTCAACCGAGTCAGGTGCGTTTTTTGTTTGGTGTCAATCTCAACGGGACTCAGACTACTACCTTGCAGTTCCACTTACACGATCTATGTGGCGTTGTGCCCTTTCTCGTAGGAGCAAATATCAAGGGGGGACCTGCCTTATCCCATCTCGTGTTATCACTCCTGTCAAATTTGAACAAATTAACTTGGTGGGATCAGACTAGTCTTGGGAGCGTTTTTCTTTCCTTTGCCCTCGCCCCGGGGTAACATTTACCGAACAGAAGTGTGTGTGTCTCCTCGCGGGGTTTCGATAATAGGTATTTCAAATTTATTTTCTATAGAATAACACTGGAGGCAAGACTTAATAGCGCTGTAGTCTAGGCTCCATGGAGATGCTTTTGTAGCGTACAACAGAAGGTGAGAATGCCCATCCTCGGGGTTAAAACGACCAATCGTCGCCATGTATCATACCGACTCATCCCCACCATTTGGAGCGTGTGACAGGGTCGCGACAAATCCCCCATTGGTTTAAACAAATGAGGATACCCTCGCTGTTCCATAAACATGACGCTACGCCGTCAGTCGACTATTTAAAAACCGCCTCCGTCGCCTTTTCGTCGCAGGTGGTATAGACCTCCGTGTTCAACTTGCTTGGACCAGACCGAAGCAGGACTCCGACCCTAGGAGACCCTTGTCACCACCCGCCGACCTCTCCTGCTCCACCCCGGCGGCACCCAGACCACCCTGTCCCCCACCCGTACTATAGGTATGCTACTTTTCTTTTTTTTCTACTACTAGAAAGCTTTTTACGGTGTGTTTCTCTGCTCTTTTGGCCTTTCGCCTTACTGCCGATTTTACGCCAGGTTGCGGTTTTGGTGACTTTGCGTTTATAGTTACTTAACGGCCTGGCCTACATCGCAAACCTGTTACACTAGACTATACAGGGACGTAAAAGATTCTCCAGCTGGGTTTTATATTGATGTGCCGTTGTGCTTGTTCAAGTCTAGTAAGTACAATGTTCAACGCTTTATGGCATAATTACCCATAAAATGCCACTTTATTCCGGGTCTTTGTTTTAAACAGCGTTCGGGGAGGTACCCGGGTAAACGGTAGATTTCACTATAAAATATCATAATGCCATCACTTTCGGTAATTATGAGGCTCCGTGACCCACAAAGGTTGATAAAACACAAATAAATTTCTGTCGCTTTTTTCCTAGATCGGAGCGGGTCTGCGGTTGGTGGGAGAGGCGAGTCACGTGGGGGATTTGAATGCCATAATTGGAAGTGTGGATCACCCCAAGTTGCTGTAACTATTCATCACTACCTCTGGGGACAAGACGACCACAAATCACCCGATGAGTTCGTACTTTGTAAATTCTCTGCTTACTAAATACCAGCCCGGAGAAAGCCTCTCGAGTTCGAACGGGTTTGCGGGAGTGCCGTCCTGTAGCTACGGGGAGCTGGCGTCCACGGCGCGAGGGGGGTACCATGCCGGGGCGTACGGCCCGTACCCTGCTACTAACTCCGGTCCTAGGGACTTCTACAACGGCGGGGCGGCTGGAGGCTACGGGAGTCCCAACGCACACTACCAGGAGAGTCCCCCCGTGTCCAGCTACTGCCGAGGCTCGGCGGAATCGGCGTCGCCTCCCCAGTCTATGAGCGCCATGCACGGGGCAGCCTGCTCCTACCAGCAGGCAGAAGTTCGGAAAGATATGGCTGGAGTCGGCGGACACCCGGGCCACCCCGTACAGCAAGCCAACCCCGCTCTCAACACCGCTCAGATGACGACCCCTATCTATCCATGGATGAGAAGCACAGGTACACACCACTTTCCTATCCGCGCACTGCAAACTCACGCCACACCAACACGTACTCCCCCACAACTTCCCACCGTGGTAGCCTTGCCCCCAAGTTTACACGCACCCCCGTTAGTCCAGACCCTAATGACGGGTTTCCCCGACCGATCCAACTGTTCGTTTTATGTGTTCTTTTATGCCAGTTGTCGTGATATATATGAGGTCACCGGGAGTCAGTGTGCCGGCAGGTTTACCACCTCCCTTAGGCGTGCTGCCCCAACAAAAACGACTATAAAAAACCAACCCAACACCGATAACGTCTCTCACTCATAGCCTTTTCATACAAAACGTTTACGTTAAATCATATATTTTACACGGCGGTTGAAACAAAACTAACATTTTAGAACCGCGATCGTCAAATTATATCGTCTGGATCAAACTTATTCGTTCTGCCGTTTTCACGTCGTAAAAACCTACCATAGAAAACCTCGGAAAGTCTGCTATCGCTTCCCCTGCAGCATTTCAATGGAATCTTGCGATGTTGGTGATAGTAAAGTGTTGTTCGTGACGGTCTCAGTGTTATAACGTCTCCTGTCCACGTTGTTCAACCCACCACGGCTACGACATGTTCTACCGACGTGACACTAGGTTTATCCAGCTTACAGCACATCAGCTACTGTTCTTATACCGTTTTTTCATTATTATTTGATTATTTGTTCTAACAGTTTGTGATGTCTGTTGTTACTGAATAGGTTCTATAAAAGGTGCTAGTCGTCAATGTCGGGTACCAGACAGCCATTTTGTGTACGTCTTTTCAAAAGAAAACAAAAGCCACGCCCCAAGTTTGTACCCTTTTTCGTGACGTCTCTCACACACCCCAGTCTGTACTCTGTCTCGCTTTGTGTCCACAGGAGTCAATATCACTAACCGTCAGTTAGGGAGAACCGTTTGAAAAATAACGTTTTTTAAAGGCAACGTCGTCAAACAACTTAAAAGAACATCTTGCCTTTAGTTTGTTACGATGGTTTCTTACCCGTTTCTTTTATTTCTATCGCTGCATGTACAATGTTAACATTGTATGTTTTTAAAAAAGTATGCATAATTAGTTTTTAATGGGTTAATAACGTTTTGGAATGTAGCGTCGTCAAGCAACTTGTCTTTTGCATGTTCGTTTAAATCTACGATGGTTGCTTATCTGTTTCTTTTATTTCTATCGCTGTATCTTCAATGTTACATTGTATGTATGTTTTAGAAAGTATGCATAATCTGTTTTTAATGATTAACGTTTTAAAGGGGCAACGTCGTCAAACAACTTAAAAGAACATCTTGTCTTAAGTTTATTCGTTTAAATCCACCATGGTTCTTTAACCGTTTCTTTTATTTCTATCGCTGTATCTTCAATATTACATTGTATGCATGTTTTAGAAAGATTCTATGGATTAATAATGCTTGCGAAGGGCAACTTAAAGAACAATTTGTCTTTTGTTTGTTTGTTTGTTTGTTTGTTTGTTTGTTTGTTTGTTGTTCAAATTTTCGATGGTTCCTTACCCATTTCTTTAGCTTCTGTCGCTGTGTTTTTAATGTTATGTGGTATGTGTGTTTTAGAAAGTACTTACCACAGTTTTAATGGCTTGAAGTGTTATATTTAATGTGATTATCTTCATTTTTTACGTCTATAGCACCAGAACGGAAGCGTGGACGACAGACGTATACCCGCTACCAGACCCTGGAGTTGGAGAAGGAATTCCACTTTAACAAGTACCTGACACGGAGACGACGCATCGAGATCGCGCATGCGCTGTGCTTGACGGAGCGACAGATCAAGATCTGGTTCCAGAACCGCCGGATGAAGTGGAAGAAAGAAAATAAACTGGAGAGTCTCAAACAACAACCGGCAGAGAGCGAAACATCGTCGACAACGTCATAAAAAAAATCCACTGCTCAAATACGGACGTTATTATTCTGTATGTAAATGTCTATGTGCCGTGAGAGAAAAAAACAGGAAAATATTGTACTTCACGGACTAATATACCTCAGTGTTTACGTTCGTTTTGTTTTTCTTCGGGAAGTATTATTATTTCCCTCTAGGTGGAAATATTATCGATGTACAAATGTAGGGATATTATATGTTGCTTGTATTGCCTGTCCTAGGTTTTGGGGGCGTTTGTGACAGAAAGAGGCTGAGTACGTTACGTGCAGTGACATAATCTGTCGACTCCCTGTAGAGGTATAAATAATATACTGGCAGACAGGGGGGCTTTTTTTGTAATGCTAGCGGCCCGTACGTACCGTCAGGCTAGATAACCTGATTCTGATTGTGATAAATGCTTCAACCATTAATCGTGCTTGGCGGTTGTCAATCAGAAATTTGCGGTGGCGCTACTGCTACTACTACTACCGTACGTGAAGATTCGCCCTGCGTTTGACCCCTCCGCTGCTTATTGCCCTGGTCTTATTTCTGTCACGTCTAACGGCAGGGATTTTGTGTTGACTGTGTAGTAGCTTGTCTAGTTAGGCAATCTTCGCTTCCACCGCTTTCCTTTTTGTGCCCAGCGCATTGATTTCTTTCTTCGGACGAAGAGAGCCGGTCGCCCCCATATCCCAGAAAAAGTGACGTGCCAAAACCTTAGTCTATATATCGACGCGCCTGAGAAAAATAAGTCCCTCCTATTTTTTACTTGCCTAGGGTATTACGGAAACGATATTACATGTAGATATGTTGTAAAAGCTAGACCTACACCTACATAACAACAGATTGAATCTTTACGGCAAAACGGTTGGTTTATGGTTGTTTAGTGACCCCTGGGTCTTGCCCTAGTCTCTCCCACAATATCGAGTGAATTATGTCGGAGTAACGTAGCCATGTGTGTGACATTGCGCTAGGTATTAAGTTCTTGACTTCTCTGACCCAAACGGCCAACCTGTGTTTTAACTAGTTTGGCTAGCCGCAATGAGAAGCCTCGCCTAAATGAGACCAAGCCTCTGATTGGTAGTGGATAACCGATAGCGTCTTTAACATCCAATCTATATTCCTCTAACTTCAATTAACGCTGCACGTACATTGCCAATGTCCGCAGTATTCACAAAGGAACAGGACTCTTTCTCATGTTGGCGTAAACACTCTGTTGTAATATTTTTTTTTCAATGGTTACAGCACTACAACACTGTAACCACCTGTTTTACACCATCCGTATCTGTTGTACGGTTAAGCTGTAAACAAAGGAGAGAGGTGTACATGCCAGGCGTCTTTACATCCTTCAAGGCAAATTAACATGGAAAGAACAAGCCCAAAGGCAAGACGCTAATGTCAGCTCTGCTGTATTGGAATGTCACCAAGGCTTTTCGCCGCAAAGATCCTCATCAAGATTGTACTTAAGAGATTTGTATCTCATAGCTTCTCCTTAATTTCGCCTGGAGAAACAGCTTCGAATGACTGGAATGTCTCACGGACTTAAACTTTCCTGCCACACATTTTGCACACTAAACTACATACCCCTAGGATGTAGAGAAAATAAATAATATAGACTTTTTTAATCTTCGTGTTGCCAAATAGAAGTAAAATCTACTATGTGCTTTAATACATTTTCGTTACTATGATAGGAAAGCAATGACTGATGTAAATTTTTTTATCATTGTAAACATATCTGTTCCCATATTGTGGTCTTACATATCTGACTAGACTTCATCGAAAACACTGTTACCCAGTATTGTAGTCTTGTTTCATCTTGCTGGAATTTCCGAAGTGTAAAGTAAGATGTGAAAATTGAAGCATATAGTATGGAGGGACTCTGAATAATGTCATGAATTCCCAGATCCAGTGTCAAAAGTGTATGAAATAAATGAAGTGCGAATGTGCGTCAAATTTGTATTCGTTTGTGGGTTAATTTGACTGTGTTGATTGGTAGATGGAATTGGAAAGAAGTCTCCTAGTAGATTACATTCTAGGGTTTCTGATTCATACCTCAATGTGCAGGAAAAGTCCCTATGGAGCTATAAAGACTTGGTGGATGTAAAATATCTCACCGACATGGAGTGTGGATAGCTACATGTCCAATTCCCATGGTGCCATGCGAGAATAAACATGGCGGTCACACCAAACAAAAACATCTCCGAGCGGCCAAGAATTCCTGTACAATCCACCGTATCGTCTGTTACCACAACACCGTTAACGGTTTCTCATTCAAAACAGTTTGAATTCACTGGTGTGACAAACACCCGTCGCCAGCCATCAAGCTACACTTCATCAACTTTATACTCTTTTACTGCTTTAATTTGACTCTCTCGATTGGTTAAGAATGGGAGCGGAGACCGCATACAAATTGCGGGTATGCCAGAGAGATAATTTATGGTCCAATGTACATCTATGGTCCCGCTACAGCAATAAACAGCTTTGCGAACAAGTAGATCTCCGACATAGGTGCCATTGTAGGGCAAGGTAGCACTATCTTCATCTCCCAGGATGCCATTCGGCAGAAAATATGGCCGCCTGCCCTAAACACCAAATTGTAGGGAAAGAGAATTTTCGTCTGAGGGACTTGTTGTTTTAATTAATAGGTGTCACACACAGTTCACCTGGTGGCTTATAAGTCAAGCTACCGTAGGCTTTTGCAGAGGGCGTCTTTCTATTCTTTATTTTTGGGCATGGACATTTTATACAGGGAAAAAACAGGTGGTCAAAACACACTATTGCAAAACCCTACTTTCATATTAAATTGGCATAGTATAGCCCCAATGAGAGCTTAAACCAGACTGTTTAGAAGTATTTATAAACAATCATAAAGTCAAGTTTAACATGGATAAACAACCCTTATTCTTTGTGAAATGTTTGAAAAGAAATTGAGTTTCATACATAAAGAATAGCAGAGAGTAACTATGAATAAAATAAAAACAGCAACATGTTGATATAAGTTCTTATGTAACTGAGGCGGTTTTGGCACTGTGAGCTCTGTCATATATTCTCCTGTAGTAGAGAAAAAGTCGACATTCTGACCCGAGGAATAGTTTTGGAAGAGAGCCATGAAATGAGTGGAGCTCTGGTTAAACAAATCAACGTTCTACAACAGACGTTCCAAAACAGCCCACCACAGGTGACTGAAAAACAACTCTAGGTACCCATATTGTAGTGTTCACATCTTATTTAACTCTGTGAGTGTAGAACGTACAACTACTACCCTAAAAGACTAATAAAATAGTTTAAGCATACACACAAGGTATAATAACAAGGCTATAAGCAATGAGTCCTTGCTATGAGCTTAGATTAAAGGCACCCAAAGCGATCTCATGGCAAAGTGAATTTTCTGGTCATTCTTTTTTTATTATTCGTTTTCACTATAAACAAACATTCACACAGAGCCTCCCTAATTAGAAATTGAGCATAAGCATTAAATAACTAATAAATGAAGGAATATCTATAAAGTATCTTACTTCAAAATGAAACAAAGACGTTACATAAAGTACAGCATTCTTTTAATGTAGTCCTATCCCATACTGGGCCATAGCATACTGGTATATGTGAGGCCGTAAAAAAGAAATGTCACTGACGGAAAACGGTTGCTTGTTTCGAATCATAAGCCTGTTCCAGCTATTTATTGGTGGTACCAAAAAATAAAGATATTCCTTCACGTCCCGTATGAAAAAATGTGCTGAGAAATGGTAGTAAATGTCAATATCAGACAGATTTCCTCATGTAAAATATTTCTGTATTGCCATTCTGAAGTTGCATCGGATGCCTTTGACAAAAAGCTGTCTCTCTTCTTAGATGCTCCCCAAGCTCTGCATGCATCTCAGGAGCCCGGTAAAAGTTGAAACTCGGAGCGATTGTAGAGTTAGTTCATGTTGCGGTTGTGACCTCAACTTCACCTTTGGGGCTCACGTTGCAAGAATCGTTCAGCGCTCCGTCTGTTATTGAATGCGGGCTCATTTGCTTGCTATCCGACTATTAGGATCTAGTTGCAAATGGCGTGTTCGCCAGACCAATATCTGTTCACCTAACGTTTTAAGATTGCGGTGCGTGCAATGGGGGGGGGGGCGTCATGCCAAGGGATGGTTTAGGATAAGGAGAAATGGCACTTATTTTCACCGATGCTATTTAGCATTTGACCTATAGGTTGGGACCAGGTGTGTTGACCAATTTCTTCACGGAAAAAGATTTCCAAACTGTGCTTACCTCAAAAAAGTTCTAATTTGTTCCAACACTAATACACCTTCACAGAAATGAGCAGAAATCTTGCAGATTATCAGTGTACCAGTTTTAAATCCTACTTGACTACGTTTCTGTAATAAGTCGCATATTTTAGTTTAGATATATTGTTCGGTGCGTGTGCATAGTTAACATTAACACAAGAAGTTTGCCAAATGGGTCGTTATATGTGGAACCTAGACGTTTTGAATTACACCTGTTACCGTAATGCTTCGTGGTCCGTTGACCATTGTTTCGACGCTTGTTCTATGTCGTTCTTTATTGTTCTTAGGGAAAAGCACTATTAGATCTCCAAATCTCTCATCTCGGTGTCCCAGAGAGTGACTCACAACCTTGAAGAGATTGTCTATCATCCGTCTTTTGCCTTACGGTCGTTGGACCCGCTTGAGCGGACACTATATGTTTACATATGGCCTGTGGGGCACGGTAGATGTGCAACTGGCCTTCCTGAATACAAGTCCTGCCCTTGCTCTCAACCCTTGCTATGCACTGTGTCCCCTTAATAACCTCATCATCTCTAATGACCTGACATCAAATCTCCAGACCTTAACCAAGGGTGACAACGTTACGACCCTCTTACCCCAAAACCCACGCATCTTTCCCAAACGTTGTCTACGGTGTCCATTAGTAGGGTAACGTAGCGTGGCCTCCTGGCCGGCACGTTTCTGGCATATCTACGTCCCTTCTATACACCTTTCCCTCTAGATGAACCCGGTTGGACACAGATGGAATTTTCGCTGCGGGGTTATATGTAGTGTGTGTTGAAGAGCAGCGCCAACAAGTGATGTGTGCTCTAACCACATGTGACATGAGAGATACGCTCCCCAACCTTTTACGCATGCGTACTGGCGCACGCCTTGACGGCGGCCATTTTTATTCTGCCGGGGTGAAAAGTACAGTGTTGGACGAAACTATTCCTCAGCGGGGGGGATTTATACCTATAGTAAAGCCTAATTTAGAATTTAAAAACGTGCATTCATGCATAACCTTTTTAAAACTAACGTCCAGACAAATATAAACAAAAATATCTCTAAATATTCATCGGCAAATTAAAAACAAATATATAGAAATGTATAATCCCTATCAAAACGTAATATATGACTGGTATAAAAATAATGTGGACTACATGGTATCCTTGTTAAAATTGATAGATAGTATATCGTTTTCAGTCTCCTAATTAAAGAAGGAATTTTAACAGATGCACACTTAACGTGGGTACACTTTCTAATGATTTACATCTAAAGGCTTTTTAAAATACCAATTGCATCCGTAAAATAGCTATACTAGGTCTAAATGTCTTTGATACTATATTTTTTCCTAAATGCGTGGTAGTTTGTTATATTGTTTCAATAAAACAAAAATCACAAAGATGTACACTATTTCATGGTGAATTTTTTTTTCATCGTCACAAAAATGCGTCTGTTTCATGTCACGCAACAGGTTCACACATAGCGGGTGCCTGGTACAAGCGACATAGGCAGTTACACTTTTAACGAAATCTCTAAAATCTGTACTTATTATACCACTTATTTTTCATTTTTGTGTTCTAAAACATGTCCACGTTAAACCCTTGTGAAGTATGATTATAAAAACGCGACGTATTTTACGAAATCGGCGTGTGTGTGTGCCTGTGTGTGTGCCACATTGTGTAAGACAACTGACAGGTTTTCAACCACTCAGACACTCGTAAATTAAAGCGATTATTACGTGCTTACTGCGAAGTTCAAATCTCCGTTCCACCAATGAGAGCTCTCACATCCGTTGTAAAATCTGTTCCGTTGACATTCATTTCCTAAAAAATATAGCTGAACGGTTGAGAGGCCGCCATTTCTGTCGTCTCTTATCCTGTCGATTTCACGTGAAACCAACATGCTAGGACGGTTCGGAACGTGTCTGTTTCTCCACCAGACATTACGGAAGCCTGCGTGCTTCAAAAAAACTCCTCACCGCCTTACAAATTTGTGAGTATAACGATGCATTTGTAAGGTAGAAGCTACCATAGTTTCAGGTAGTCCTCTCATAAAATAACAATACAGTCGGTCGGGATGTTGTCTAGCGATATTCGTTGAACCAGTCTAGTGAAGCATTTACTTTAGTACCTTCTGACATAGTGTCATCAAATGATTCTTGGGTATACGTCTGGAAATGTGTTTTTATAGAAGGAAATAATATACAGTTACAAAGGAATCCTTGCGCAATGGTGTGTTGACGATTTGAATTACTGTGGGAAGATGGTGGGATATTTGTCACCAAAAAACAGCGCAAATTATACACAAACTTTCAACTTTTTCGGTTTTAGCAACACCATTTCTGATGCTACTGAAATGTCTGTCAGTTGGTGTATATATTGTAGATATATTTCCCAAACCTGTCTCTAGTTTGTCTGCTATATGATATGTACATTACCATATGCGCCAAATCAAAAGTTTCCATACCCGAACTTATTCACATGTGATTTTGACCAAAACTGGGTAGCTATGTGTGTGACGCATGATAAAATAATATTCTACGCGCAATTATTACCAAGATTATGCCACTTTTAAGTGGTTGGTCTAAACTTCATTTATTAATGAATAACATAAAGAGAAAGTCGCAAGAAGCAAGCAAGAATGAAATATAAACTG